CGGCACATATGGCCATAATCGTGTGGGTTATCCACTAGTACAGTCCCATATGGTCGATGCTTGGGGGAGATTGTCATATACGCCCATTAGGAGGTCATCCCTACCTAGTGCCCTAGTGTGCTGATCTCTTTCCAGTATATTGAATTCAATAGGTTGACTACGGCACATATGGCCATAATCGTGTGGGTTATCCACTAGTACAGTCCCATATGGTCGATGCTTGGGGGAGATTGTCATGTACGCCCACTAGGAGGCCCGCCCCTACCTAGTGCCCTAGTGTGCCGATCTTTTCCCAGAGACCTATTTTATCAATGCAGCATATACACTTACCCCAATTTATATTATTGAATATTGTTACTAATATATTTGATTATTGTTTCCAGGAATGGATTTATCAGAAGGAATCACACTTTTTTTCGAACAAACTCCATTTAAAAACTGGCTTCCCACCAGATGCCTAGAATATTTGGAAAATAAATCCGTTGATCTTAGAACGTCAGACAAAGAATTAGTCCAAACCGAATTCAAGAGTCATGTCCATTCATTAATGAATCATCAAGCAGTAACGAAATCCGCACAAAAAAAAGCTAAAAGACTTTTGGATGAAGCAGATCGGATGTTTGAATCCGAAGAAGTTATAGCGATTTTTAAAAGAATGGACACGAAGGTAAATTACTTTTATTGGGGATTGCTCATTTTCATTTTCATTATCTAACATAAACCGTTAATTTTACAGGCGATTGAAAAAAGCAAAAGGCAGTTATTACTTGTAAAAAAATCACTTTTCGATACGGAAGTTCAGCTTACTGTTGAAGATCACAAAATACATACCGCATCATCTTCGGTAATTAACCGAGTTCATTATGCATTTCATTCGATATTATCTATAGATTTGATTTTAACATATTTACAGAAATTACATACTTTAGGAACAGAAACCCCAATTAAAGCTTCCAAACGGAAACGTGAAATAGAAGACGATCAAATTGTAGTGGTAAGTACGCGTATCCTTATTGTAAATGCATCTTTTTTTAATATCTATTATTTATAATTTTGTTTCTAAGGAACCGCAATTTTAATTTTTAGGATGGTGATGAAAATCGGATCAAGAAAACCGGACATGGAAGGGATATTCTAAGATATAGTGATTTTTTGGGCAAAACATTAGTTTCGGATATCATAGTCAAAGGGAATGAGAAAGAAAATGTTATTCAATACAATGAGGTTGGTAATAGTTTGGTGATGCATTTCAAACAAACGTGTCATAATTTTACTATTTTTTTGAAAAAAAAAAAAGCAACAGCTTGAAAATGTGTACGATATAGAATCGAAATGCAGAAACCCAACTTCACAGTCAGATAATGATTCCGGCGATCATGAAGAGTATCAAGATTATTATGAAGAATGCTTCGAAGAAGAAATTTCATCGGACATGGTTGGTATACTAACATCTGTGTTACTCATGTCATTTAATGTTCACCTAATATTCTCATTTATAACTTAGCCTTCGGCTGATACTATTGGAAGTTGGATTTTGTCAAGTGGTAAGGATGTTGGTGAAGAATTATCCAAATACCGTGAAAATATTCCTCGCACAAAGGCATATCTTTAGTGAGTTACTCTTGATTTATAAGCATAAACTAAACGTCTTTTCCAGTGCTGACTTCCTTTGATAATTTTATTCACAGTCCGGCTTATTTCGGAATATTGGATCTTTCCGGTGAGGATACAGAAGTAAAGAATTTGTTTACAAATGACGAATGGAATGAGATGATCAAGGATTTTAATGATAATGTAAAATTAAGTGATATGGAAGACGAACAAGAGAGGCCCTTTTATGAGCTGATGGACAAAATTTCCGAGGTTAGCAAATTTGTAGTATCTACCTTCATTTAATGTATCGACCAATTAAACCATTTTTTGTTTCCTACGATAGGTATTGAGGAAGAAACCTTCTGATCTAATTACTGGCATTGAAAGCTGTGTGATTGAAGTACGTACAGTATATTACTTTCTATCACTTGTATTAGCTTCTTATGGAAGCGCAGGTCTAATTATTGTCATTTATAGGACAATATAAAAGTAAATACAATCAGAAGACTTATTCAGACATAGTAAGTGTTATTCATAGTATTAGGACCCGATAGTCATAATATTTAACAATTTTGAAATAAATAGTACATATAATCTTCAACGCTTGCAATTGCCAATGTCTGAAGTTGCCTTTGGAAGTAATTTCACTAACGCAATTACAAAAGGAATATTGACCTTTGATCGAACCTATCATTATGAAGAGTAGGTTTTTGATATTTATTATTTATGTATTTTACAGTTTCG